ATTGCCTTCTCTGACATCTGAAATCATTTTGTGGACTTTTTTTGCGTTTACGTTCTACAACAACTTGATTGTCTTAGTCATTAACGCATAACTATGAAAGAGTTCACCCAGTGATTTCTTATGATAACTCGGAAGTATAAGATACGAATAGAGTTTCGCTCATGTTGAGATTATAGGGCACCATGAGAAGGCTACATAATGGAATAACAATAACAGTAAAGCTCTGTGTACAGTATACTAAGAATAAGTACATATGCTAGAGATCAGTGAGAGTTTGCCCATCATCGTGATCCTGCCATCTTAGAGAATCCAGGAGATTTACTGGTGTTACTTTGAGTTCCAAATCTCATTTTCAAATGCATGACCTTATTGTTAATGAATAAGGCCGACAACTAGCTAGACAATTTTTACTTAAGCCTTTCATTATTATTTTCAGAAATCATAATATTGTCCATTTATGATTTGATTGAAGCCACACCTCAGCAGTCATGATTGACATCATGGAGAATAACAGCGTCATCGCAGCAATGCTTGACTTGAAACTACGTGATGAGAATGGAAGTCTTGTAAGTTCTATTTACTCTAAATGTTAAATTTCTTACAAATGAAAAAGCTTTAGAAGTCTGTGCTCAATTTACCAGTTGACGTACTGAAACAGTATTGCCACTTGGATCAAGTTGCAGATTTCGCCAATCTTACTTTGTTTATATACAGCTCAAATGAAACGGATAATTACGCTGAGATGAGGTGAGACAAATCTTCTAGAGTATGACTAATTTGAATCTTCTTAGTTTGTCTGAAGAAAAATCATTTAGTGGAACGCCTATCCCATACACAGTGAAGCTATTGTTGTCGTTTTTATTTCTTCTTGTTGGATGTATTGGTTTAGTAGGGAATGTGCTTACAGTTCTAGTGATTTACAAGGTATGTCACTGACAGCTTTTGATCATAGAAGAGAATTTGTAGCAAAAAGCTGATTTGTGCTAAAATTAAACTTTTATCACACTACGCTTATATATAAATAGCATAAACTTAAATGTTTGTCGCCCTTTCCAAATGAGAGGCTAGCTACTTCGGGTGTGGGTCATTTTTCAAATAATTTTGCTTATTTTTTTACTACTTTTAACAACAATTAATGTGATCACACATTTTCCTTCGTTCAAATTAGCTTTAAATGACAAAAAAAAGGAATATTCTGGGCTCTTCTCTGTAGAAGGACATCGCATAACATTCCACTACTGTTTGTCCAATTTTTCACACAAAGCCAGCAAATTTGAAGGTTTACCTACATTTTGGTTATATTTTACACTTTCAAATTCCAGACAACCTCTCTGCACTCGCACACCAACTACTTCCTCGCTTCACTTGCCATCTCAGACTTGTGTCTGATCATTGTAGGTGTGCCATTCGATCTTTGCCATCTCTGGCGAAAGGATCGACCACCAGCCATTGCAGGATACTGCGCTATCATGAGTGAGTTCTTCTCTATTTGACAACATTGTGCTATAATACTGACTCATTCCAGGCACTTCCATATCCTTATTTACATTCGCTTCAATTTTGACAATCGTATCCTTGACGGCGGAACGTTTTGTGGCTATATGCTATCCATTCAGTCACCGTGCGCTTTTCGATAAAAGAAGGTTTGACAGGAGAAGTTTTTTTCACGTAACCAACAGTGTAAATGTGTGAGTCTAAAATGAAAATTTTGAGAAGAACATCTATGCCTACACTTGCAATAAAACAGAATTTTGGGCGGATGTACTAAGGTTTCCTCAATTCATTAGCAAATCACATCACACTAGACACTGGATTTATGGATGTACTCGTACAGACATTTACATGTAAATACGTTTCTATAATGAATAATCAAAATTGGGAGATAGCAGTGCAGAAACGATTTTGCGTTTTTTATCAAAATTGTCAAAGCAGTTGTCTCTTTCCAGTCAGATACATTTCTTCTATTCAATCGAGCAAACCGCAATCAGAACAATTACCAGAAATCTCCGTAAAAACTTCAATCAAAAGATTTCTTGAAATAAACACACGCATTTTGTTTTGATATGACAATCAAGGTTCAAACAACTGTAAGAGCCTTAGCGCACTCTTTTAGAGGCGCCCATACAAACTTTCGATCTTGGGTTTTTACTCTGTCTGAAGCATTTCCAAATCATTATGAGCTTTGCAGCAGTGCGATTTTAGCAGGATCATCCGCTTTTCTAACTGCTGACGAGAGACGCTCAAAAGAGCAAGCATAGACTGATATCGCTCCCAAAGTAACGGGAGGGGCAATGATCATCGCAGATATCGAGAAATACCTCAAAAATTTCAAATTCTTCGCCTGGCACTGTTTCTACAACTTTCAGCCACAATCAATCATTTCCTTGCTAATTAATACCTAAGTTTGAAATCGATTCAGCGTGGATATGCCTTCTTATTGCTTTTTTTGGGTTCCCATGTTATCTGCACCTATGTGTCCTTATTGTTGATTAGGGGTTCTACAAGAGAAAATGTTTGTAGCATACATTTCCATTCCTTCAAATTCTCATTGAAATTGTGTGCTTTCAGAGTAATTTATCTAATCTATCTAATCTGGCTACTTGCTTTCTTCCCATCGCTATATATCGGACTACAAGTCAGTTAGCTTTTTTCCAATAGATAATTTGGAATTTATGAAAAGGTGATAACCAGAGACTAAGAAGAACCTGTATCAAGTTGTAAAGTATCTTAGTATAAAATTCACTCCATGACTGCTTGCACTACTTAGACACAAAAATATCCAGCTCCTAATCCGAAAACTATGGTTGATCAAGATTTCTTTCAAATACTTCTTCTGCTATATTCAATATTGTTTTCTTTTTTTACTCATATGGTTCCTATAGTTCCGAAATAAAGGCAAATACTGCATTTATTTAAAAAAAAAAACTTTT